TTGCTTTGTGCAAGTTCTGTCCTTCAGTGACTGTTTCTTCAAAGGTGCAAAAGTATTTACGACCTAAATACACATGTGTGAGTGCTGTATGTAATGGTGAGAGCTCTGTAAGCCATTCAGAAGTCAGTACTTTTAGGAGCATCGTTCACCAGGAAATCGGCACTTACCTGAATTATATCTTGCCTTTACAACAGAGAATAAATTTTCCAGGCATTCTTCCTTTTTCTAATGCTAGCCTAACTAAAACTATGCTTTACTTCAGCTGTCATAGTTCTGGTGACTAGGACAATTTTTACTATTACTAGGTCTAGTGAAAGTAGAGGCTGGGGTTGGTATTAAAATCAGTTCATGTATTCTGGTGTGACAGCAACTGTGGGAATTATTCTGTAAGCTTTCCCAGTGCAGATGTACTTTCTGATTGCTCCTGTGCTGTGGCTTATTCTGGGCAGTCACCATGATGCTTGAGCCTATCTATTGCTATTTTCACTTGAACTCCAAGCAGATTTTCTATGCTTTGTTTATTTTTCCCTTCATTCATTGGTTTTTATTCTGTTCTGCTTTCTTCAGCCTGTGACTGCTACATTTCATCTTCTGTCGGTGTTTCCCAGTGTTATAGAACACTGCTGTCTCTTTTTGTGCTGTTCGTGTGTACTGTGGAAAGTGGTGGTGGGTAGTAAAAAGGTTTGGGAAAGAAAAAAGGATATGCAGTCTGTGAGGGCGAGAGAGCAGATCATCTGGCAGCTGCCTGTTGGCTTTGCAGGAGAATGAAGATAAACCTCCACATCCTGGTGTGACCTTTCCCCTGTGCAGACTGGAAATCCCAATTCCTAATCTCCATGTGTTTTTGCTTTTAAATTAAATAGTTATAGCCTCTTGAGTCTCTCTGGCCAACATGAAATCTCTACCTCTGATCACTTTCACTGACCTGCTCTGAGCTGTTTGTAGTCCTGTCTTGAGAAGAGGTGGGAAACACTGGCCTACACCAAGATCTGTTCTGTGTGGTGTTGAGGTCATATTTTTTATGAGTTTAAATACATTTTTTTTAGGTGCTGAGGTGAACATGTCCTGGTTATAAACACATATTTTTCTGACTGAGCTACTTTAAGGGAACTTCTGGCTAGTTAAGGAGGTTTTCTTTGGGGGGAAGAGGGATGGGAAGATGTGGATACTTTTATATGTTTTTAAAATGGTAATTAGGGAATCTTTCATAGACTCAGGATTAAGGTTTTCAATACCCATAGTTAAATCTTCTTTAGCATGTAATGACTTAGTGTGCGTTTAAGTATTCTTGATCATTGAAAGTCTTCTGCTGAAGAGTAATGGTATAATGTTTAAGTGCTCTTTAATTCTGTGCATAACATGTGTTGTGGTTAATTGATTTTTTTTTTTCCCCTTCTATTTTCTTCCTGTAATATAGCACAGGAGAAGAAAGTTCTGTCTTCACTCATTGAATCTGGCTCAGTAAGAATGCTTCGCATGCTGCCCAAATAGTATGCAGACAGTCCTTACCCAGGAGCTTGCTTGGGTTTTCACCAGATGTTAGGGGGGGTAAAATGGTGTTCTTGGCTAGGAGATTCTATCAGTAGTTCCCTTAAATGATCAAGACTGGAGGGTAAAGGTATTAAGTTTTGTCCAAATGTCTTATTGATCTGTGAACAAAGAGGTTTACCTTGGGATTCATTACTGGTATTGGAGTGATTGAAGGGCTTGAATGTTGGAGGTGCTAAGTTATGTTGTTCTCTTTTGCCTTCTGAGCGATTTGTTGTGTACGTGTAAGGCAGGCTAAGACTCAAATCAATGTGGATTTTAGATAGGTCAAGAGAGGTGAGGCTGACAGGTACCTTATTCCACTTCAGCCCTAATTTACCTTCTCGTTTTATTAGAAGGGGTAGTTGTAAATATCTCTGGGGACGTGTTATAAAGCTGTATTAAGCTAGCATTAGTGTCTTAGCGTATTAGTAGTTAGCATCTTGCAGTATTAGTGTCTCAAAGGTGATGAAAGTACTGTGCTTAAAATATATGCCATATAAAGAGTAATATAAACACTGTATCTGTTTACTGCTAAAATATTAGGCATGATACTAAAGCATCTTCTAGCTTCTGAAACTGAGAAATCTCATTGTGTTTCCAGAATCTTCTGAGAAAATTGAAGTCATGGTGATTAAAGTCTTCACTGATAATCTATTTCCACGTCCAGATTTCCACAGACTTGCCTTTGGCTTTTTTATTTCTAGCCATCTTGAAATATCTTCCATGGGGACATAAATTTCGTATAACACTTTACATGCTTTTTGCAAGTGAGACCTTCAACCGTGGCTCCTCATCACTGTCCTGCAGCTCACCTCAGCGCCCCTCTACCAAAGCTGAGTGCACAGAGGGTGTTGGTCTTGTGTGCAGGGAGTGTTCTCTGGGGGGTCACAGGGGGACCCCTTGCTTGTGGCCGTCAGGAGTGAGCTGTGCCTAGTGCAAACTTTGTGTCGCCTGCACTTCAGTTTTTTAAGCGTATGATACTGGCTACTTAGCTTTAATTTCTGGAAAGAGTAGCATTTATCTCCTGTTTGTGAAGCCTGCTTTTCTTAGGGCCACAGACCAGATATTATGGATGTGGTTCCACTAGTTGCAGTGACATAACCCAGGAGGAGCTTGGGGAAAAGGCCACATAGCAAAGCCTTTGCAGGCTTCAGTCCGTGTGATAGAACAACATAGGTCATGAATTATTAGACTGATTCAACATACTGAAAAAAAATTGCTCTGCTTTTCCTTAAGAAATTAAGAAAAGAGGACCTTGAGAAATTGAGGGTTTCTGACTTGCTAGGAGTGAGAAATTGTGGTTTCTAGGTTTGTAATGGCTCATGGAACTTGTTAGGGATTCAAGGGCAGTTTCTCTTTATACTAGCTACACTCCACTGGTAAAGAGGAAGCAGCTTACATGCCAGCTATTTTACATGATGTATTCTTGGAGCTGCTTTCTGGGAAATGTTAGGGTTTTTTCCTGCAGCCCTGAATCCCTGCCCTAGAGCTGTGGAAGGGAAGGAAACCACAGGTATGGTTCCTGCGCTCTGACATTGTATGTGCACACAGAAGGGACATGGGAAACTGTCACCGTTGATGCAGGTGAAACTTCACGATGTTAGGTAGTACATTTTCATCACCTGCAATTAACATGTGGTGTTTAAAATACGAACAGAATACACAGTCATTTCTTCAAAATGGCAAGTCTTCAAGTGACTCGGGGCTTTTTGGTGAATGGGGTCGCTGATCCGTGTGCAGGAAGACTGAGAGAAATAGTTTGGTCACACTGGTGGGATGTCAGTTCCAGAGAAGGATCATTTGTACAACCCCTGACAGGTAAAGAAACCCACGTTACTTTGTTAGGTGAGCTGCTTGTAACAGTAATCTATGCTGAATGGAGAACAGCACTATCTGAAAGACTCAGGTTCTCCTAAGTGCTGTTCTCTGCCTTTATGTTAGTTAAATTATTATTCGTCAGCTGTGGCTCAGTCTGCACTTGGTAGAGGATTAACTGAGTTCTCATCTGCCTCCAGCTCCTCAAATGGAAATCTGAGGATAGAGCAAATTTTGTTTCCAAGAGGTTATAACTAATTTTAAAATTGTGCTTCTGAAGAATTTCTCAGTAACTTAAAAAGAAAAATTTTCTCTTTGGGATGAAATCTACCAGAGGAAGGTTAAAACTCTTTCTACTGGTGGATAGTAAGAAACTAAACAGCTCTAAATTCAAATTTTCTTCAGTACAGAGTGACTTCTTTGGGTCATCAGAACTAGGCTGTTTACCTACAACCAAGGTTTTGTGTATTGTCAGCTGGTGCCAGTTGATTCCAGACTTCTATTTCTTGATTACTGTGCATTCCTATGCAGTTCCACTCTGAAGGCTTATTCACTACTGCAGTGAGAGTATTACCTAGCTGAGTGTTGTTCACAGGGGGAAATTTGTAAGACTATGGGGAACGTTTTAAGATTATAATGAAAAAGAATATAATCGAAATTAATATAACCAAATAATTTTTCCCGGACTTCATCAATGGTTGGTTTGACGCAAAAAGAGATAGCTTTGCACAAGACTTTGCTGGGATTCAAACTGCACATGAACTTGGGCAGTGGAATAAGCCCTGCCTTTATAGTCTGCAAACAGCAGAGAGACAAAAGGGATCAGTCTGATTCCAAAGGGTTGATACTTCTCTGTTTTATATAATATTTTCTCAGACTGTTTTTAAGTTGGATAAAACTCTTGCGATTAGTATGAAATTATTCTGTCCCTGAGTCAGCATTTTTCTGTACGTTTCTAAAAACACAGTTGACACTGTTATAGTGTCTAGTCTGAAGCCTTCAGATGGGTCACTTCTGCAATATTGCAGTGGAATCTTATGTTGTAAAACTGTGGCAGGTGAGCAGGTATGTATCCCACAGGACTTTTTTTTTTTTTTTTTTTTTTGTGATGTGTGTATGAGAAATTCCAGTCTTATTTGTGTTACGAAAACCTCATGTTTGTATGATCTATTGTCAGAAAATCAGAGGAGGTGGATGAGATTTGAAGAAGTCAAGTGGCATTTTTACTTATAGAAAGTATTGGACATGTTTTGAATAGGGCTTGTTAAACCTCTATATGCAGCTATGCTTTGTTAGGCAGAATGCAAAATAAAGGTGAAATTTACACGATCTCAGTGAAAGCCACATGTAACCTTTTGTCCCAGGACTGTGTCTTCTGATTCTTTGTCTTAGCAAGCATACTGCCCTTTTGCCCTGATTTAGGCTATACAAGCTATTTATTTCGGTGTGTTTTTTTTCACATTTTGCTGTGTTTGTTTTTAAGAACAGCTTGAGTGGTGTATGTATTCAGTTAGGTATAAGAAGATGTATAATAATAATTTTCTTTATTGTCCTAGCATTGATATGTTAATGTCTTCTGATAAAGAAAAGGACCCAGATGTTATTTCTGAAGATAGCAGTCTGCTGACTCTTCGGTATGTTGTTACAGTGCTATTGCAGAACCCTCATATGTGGTGGGGTGAAAAACAAGTGCAAAAGCTTGGTTGGCTGCTTCTTCCTGTTCCAGGCAATGGTGCACTTACTGGAGCAGTGTCCAGAGTTACTCTAAGGACAGAAACACCAGCTCATAATGGGTTAATTGGTATAAAACTTCTGCTTAAATGTCACTTTGGAAATTTTTAATATGTACAGAATAGACCAGCTTTCCTAGTGGAAGAACTTAGGATTCCTGTGTCTAGGCATTTTTGAACTAGTATCTGAATTTTGAGTGTGCAGTGGATATGCCATAATCGTGTGCAAAGAGGTTTCTCCAAAGCCTTGTGAAATAAATCTGTAGCTCTTGCCTCCTGTAACCCACAGTCACATTCTAACAACTAAATTACAAATACTGAAGTTGTAGTGAGATGCCTCTTTACCTGACCCCAATCTTTATAGAGTTCATTGATACTACTGATGCATTTCAGAGGTTGAGCAGTATATGTTGGCCTGCTCAGGCCTTTGCTGTACTTGAATTTCAGTTTGTGTAGTACTAATGTAAAGAAATGTGTTATGGTTGTGATCAGAGTTAAGCCTGATTGTTACTGAAAATCTTCAGGTAGGTCTGGAGGGTAAAGAGTTTGCCCTGAAAGTTAAAAAGGATTTGGTGCTTGTGCAGTAGTTAAATACATGTAGTTTGGTAAATATTCTATATATGATACTTATTTTTCAAAAAATGATACTCGAGTTTTTTTAGAAATATTCAGATGTACCTATATCATGGAGTTGAGCATATTAGTGGCTCTTTTTCTTGATTTTTGCTTGAACATTTATTTAATTTCTCTGAAGTGGGAGGGGTAGTTGAAGCAGCTTTCTTAAAGGTAGTGGTGTGTTCTTTCTAGAGAGCCTCTTCAGACATTTTGTTGTTTTTACTCATAAGCATAAAACTGTCCACAGACAACCTGTAATTTGCACCTGTGGGGAAAGAGAAATGCAGGCTGGAAGGTTTTGTGGGCATCAGGAGACAAGTGTGCTGTCAGTCAGTCGTACTAAGACAGCCAGAAATCCTGCTTTTTGAAAGCTGCACTGCAGTAGCTTGTGTTGTTTAAGAATATACCTGAAGATTCTGCGTGGAAGTTGTTAAATGGAATTTTGTCCTGTGCTCCTGCCCCTCAGAATCAGAAAGAAGGCGTTAGAGAGGAGAGAAGAAACGATTGTGGTGGATCGGGCTTGCAGACAGGAGACTCTTGCCTATGAGATGGTAAGTTCCGTGTCCTCTCCTAGGATCTCAAGGCAGTTCAGCACAGCCAAAATCCAGCTTCCAGTTGCTTTTTTTTTTTTTCCCCATCACTGTGAATCTCAGTGGGAAGTGTTTGTGCGGTCAGTATTCTCTTTTGAGTTCTTAGAAAGAAGGAAGCTGCCGTAGAAGTGCCCTACCTGGTTCTCACAGCACAGCTATGAAGTAGAATGGAAATGTGGAAATGCTTTCACTTTTCTAAAACAGCAGTGTGTCAAGGGCAGTACTGGATTATGGATTTGCATTTTGGAGAAGTTTAGACCTCCAGCTATGTCAAACTTGCCTGGTTGGATGAAATTTTACACTAATTTTTATAATCATATACTTCATCCCATGGATAGTTTCTAGTTCAGTCTTTCTCAAGTTGAGAGTTGCAATGTCTCATTACATGACAGAGCATTTGAAGAGGATTTCAAAGCGTTAATGGACAGAAGTTGGTAGCTGGGTTCCATGAGGGCAAAGTGACAGCAAGGCCTCCCAGTAGCCAAAGAGTAGCCAGCTACCTCGTAATTGCTGAAAGCACCTCAATTTCTCCAGAGCTGAGGAATGAAGGAAAATGTTTGAAATCAGTAATTACAGCAGTTTCTCATCTTTCCTTCTTGGAGGAAGTAGGCTGTTATCAGTTCAGAAGGCTACACAGTCAAAAATTAGTTGCAGTTAGAACAGTGTTCCCGAGACTTTATCCAGGGGCTATGAGATATAACTGTCTGCCAGTATAATATATATATATATATATCTCTATATATATATCTATATATATCTATCTTTATTTTTCCAGGAGTCACATGCAATTGGAAAGAGGCCAGACAATCCAGCAGATCTAGTTGAGGAGGGAGAACTGCTTTTAACTCTGAACATCTTCTATCCTGTCATATTTCAGAAGGTTGGCACTAAATTTTCGAGGTAGTATTCTGATGTTTCTTCCCTGGTCAGGTAATACCTTGCTTTCCTAGGGAGGTATAATGAATGATTCCACTGAGGTAGCATGGTAAACTTTTCAACTGTGCTAATTTCTTAAGGATTTTTCAGAATATGGCTTTCATTCTGTTACTGATTTACAGAAGGAAGTTTTTATAATAATTACTCAGCAGTTAATTGATTTCACAGAAAGCTCAAAATCTGAAACTAAATACATGAAAATTAAAGTACTCTTTAAGGATTTGAGATAAGTGTGCTCAGACTTCCTGTCTTTCCTACACTTTCTGGTGGGGAATGTCACTTTTGAGTTTCTAAATAAAACTAATAAACCTTAGGAGACACTGAGGCAAGAAGCTGTTTAAAATCTTGTACAGAGAGATGATGTTCTGTGTGCTGCCAGTTATGACCTCAGGCTGTCAGCTGAAGAGCAGTACTGATGCTGACAAGTGATTTTTTTTTTTTATTTGAAGCTTGTGTTTTCCCTTGTAGCACAAAGATCACAAACCTTATCAGACAGTCCTCGTACTGGGCAGCCAGAAGCTCACCGAGCTGAGAGACTCAATTTCCTGTGTCAGTGACTTCCAGATCGGTGGCGAGTTCAGCAGTCAGCCAGATCAAGCACCAGAGCACATCAGCAAGGTAACATCAGCTGTGTAGAAGCCTCTACATGTGTAGGAGCCTTGAAAACTTCAGAAGAGAAGGAGGCAGAGCTTTGTCTTGTTTTTAATTCAGCAATAAATTCGGCTGCATTGGTTCTGCGTGTGGGTTGCACTGCAAGTAAGTACTTGCTGGTGGCATTAAATTCCATTTGTTTTGTTCAAGCATGATCGTGATCTTACAGCTTCCACCAAAGTATAGACTCAGTGTGTGCTAAGTCTTCACAGTAAAATTCACATGTTTCTTCAGCAGACAGGTAATCAGCCACTAGTGGGGTAGAATTTTTCTTCCTTTCAGTCTAGGAAGGAAGTGTAACTGTGACCTGCCAGAAGTGTGTTACCTTTAGAAAACAGAAGATAACTTTTGATGAATTCAAGGGTCCTAGGAACTGATTAAATGAGAATGGTGCTCTGAGAGTCTGCAGGTAAAGAGGCTAAGTTAGCTCTCACACCCACTTCTGCTCCTCTTGAAATGCAGTCTGGGTGCACACAGGCTGAGTGGAAGGATCGAGTTGCTACTGGTGAAGTAAACAAGTGTGGCTTGTCAGCTGATCCAAAGAGAGTTAAAGGAAACTTTTTCGATTTTATTAGCATATATAGGCCTAACTTCTCTTTTCATTTATGCTAGTTTTGAGGTTCATGATTTTACCTTTTGCTTTTTCTTCATTGGGCAGTGATTAATGCGATGAATTCTGACAAGCCCAAATGCTGGATTCTACACCTAGGACACAGGGCACAAGTCTGAAGTGGGAAAGGAGTGGCTGGAGAACAGCCCTGCAGAGAGGGCCCTGGGGGTGCGGCTGGTTGACAGCAGGCTCAGTGTGAGTCAGCAACATGCCCTTGGAGCCACGAGGGCAAAAGACATCCTGGGGTGTGTCAAACACAGTGTGGCCAGCTGGTCAAAAGGAGCAATTAACCTGCTGTATTCAGCACTGGCATGGTCTCACCTTGAGTTCTGTGTGCAGTTCTGGGCCCCACTATTTAAGAAGGATGTGAAGGTACTTGAATATGTCCAGAGGAGGGCAACACAGCTGATGACCAGACTGGAAAGAATGGCTTGTGAGGAGCAACTAAGGATTTAGGCTCTGTCTAGTTTGGAGAAAAGCAGGCTGAGGGATGACCTCATTGCTCTCTACAGCTTTCTGAGGAGGGGAAGTGGAGAGGGAGGTGCTAATACCTTCTTCCTGGTATCCATAGTAGGACACATGGCAATGGTTCAAAGCTGCATGAGGTTCAGACTGGACATAATGAAACCAAGAGGGTAGTGTGGTCAAACACGTGAACAGACTTCCTGGAGAGGTGGTCGATGCCCTAAGCCTGTCAGTGTTTAAGAGGCGTTTGGACAATGCCCTTAATAATATGCCTTTAACTTTTGGTCAGCTCTGAACCTGTCAGGCAGTTGGACTAGATGATTATTGTAGGTTCCCACCAATTGAAATACTTTGTTCTGTGCCTTTTTTTTTTTTTTTTTCAAATACCTTAATCAAACCAACATCAGGGGAATATTGAAGAGAACTGTGCAATGTTCAGGTATTTTATTTGATGGATACTGATACTTTTAAAATGGACCCTGGATCTTCTATATGATTACTGCTATTGTTGGGATTCCCTGGAGCAACATAATAGGGCATCCCTCCTGCAAACTGACAGACAGGGCATAGTCTGGGGAGAAATAATGTCCAAGTCATACCTCTGGACAGCATTAATCAGGAAAGACCTGACTCAGATTACCATGAACATCGTAACAGTGGCACCTTTGGCCTTCTGTTCACCATGACAGCTGTTTTCTGAAGGTTGGAGGAGATTTAAAGGAATGGCTAACTCAGAACTCCTGTGACCCACAAAAGTTGGTACAGAGTTGCCAGAGCATGGCAGTACTTACAATTTGTGGTTGGAGAACCAGGGAGGGTGGCAGTAACATACCCAAAGCAAATCACCTGAATATGAAACATTTATGCTATGCCTTTGTCCAGGTCATCTCCAGACATGAGTCCTGTCTCTGGCCTGCAGTATCTGTGTTTCCTCTCTTTTGACACCGTGGAGTTAATAGCTCAAAGAGACCCATGGGCACAAATGAGCATTCATTCTCTGTTTATAAAGACACATGAGACTTGTCTGGAAATCCGGAGTGCCTAGTTGTGCATGGTTTTCTCATTCAATCTTACTTAGTCTACTTATGCCTCTGTACCCAGCCCATAAAATAATTCTTGTTCACTTCTTGTCTTCCGCTGTCTCATTTCCACTCTCAGCTCTTGCAGGTCACAGGCTGCCTCCTGACAGAGAGGTAAAAAGTTCATTCTGTGACTTCATGACCAGTGAGCAAGTGCCAGGTTAGAGAGTTGGAGTGAGCTGGTCACCGTGTTAATCACAGGGAGGAACCAAGGTCCAGTCATCCCCAGTCTGACCTGTCTGCACGGGCATCTGTCAATGAATAAATGCAACCTGTACTTAGCTGACAGCTGGCACACAGTGTTATCAGAGTTGTAAATGCTGGGACCACTTCACTGTGATAAAGCTCTGCATTGATGCGTTTTGGAGAGATGCTTTATTGGAATGTTCTTAAGGCCCATGAATGAAGGATTCTTGCAGTTTTCTGTATACTTGAAGACAACACAAGCTTTAAATAAGCTTTGTGCTGTGTCTGAATGCCAGCATATAATTTGAGATTTTTTTGGTTGTTGTTGTTGGGTATGAAACGCTGTTTTTCTTCAAAGTGCAATTTTAAATATGGGACAAATTGGATGCTGTAACTTGCAGTTAACTGTGTGTGTATACAGTGTGTCTTAGCATCACTTGCATGTGCTGTAGCTGTGCACAGTTGCATTTGCAGTGTATGCAGAATGGCTCCCAGAGCAGCAGTCAGTACAGAAGGGTTCCTCTCTGAAGTGGTTTGAGAGGGTTTAGTCTATGGCCTTCAACCTCACTTGAATTTGATCACTTCCAGTAAGGAATTCAGTGCGAGGTACCTGACCTATTTTCTTCAGCAAATGTAATAAAAGATTTGAACAATGTGGTTCCCTGCTTTAGGTTTTCCATCTGAGGCATCTTCCTGCTTCAGGGTCCACTGCAGAATAGTGTCTCCTGCTTCTTGTGACTGTTTCTCTACGTGTCCTGTGATCAGTCTGGTAATACACATTGCTATCTGGCCCCAGTCTTTAAGGAATTATAGCATGAACTGGAACAACACCTCCTTACTTGCCACAAAGAATTGGGAAGAGGGCAATTTAAAGGTAAAAAAGATATATGAGTAAAAATCGACCGCTTTTCCTGAGCATCTTCTCTCTGTTCAAGTTACTTGTTTATATAGAGGCTGTTTTGACAACAACAACAGAAGATTGAAATTATGGGAAGCAGGTGTATGGCTTAATTAAACAATCATTTCTTTCATGGATGTTAAATGACATTTGTATCTAAACAAAAAGTTTGTATGTTCTTCTTAATCTTGGCTATATATAGATACATAAATCTATCCATCTCTTTCTTTTACTGTATATCTGGTTTTAAATTGCAAAATCATTAAATATTTCATATAGAATATGTTGCAATGGAAGGGACACGTAAAGATCATCAAACTGACTATGTGCTTCTGACAGAGCTACCTGAAACTAAACCATATGTCTTAAGAGCATCATCTAGACGTTCCCTAAACTCTGACAGGCTTGGGGGTCTCACTGCTTCCTAGGGGAGCCTGTTCCAGTGACCAACCACGCTCTTGGTGAAGCACCTTTTCCTGATGTCCAGTCTGAACTTCCCCTGACACAGCCTCATTGCATTTCCTCCTGCTTTCTTGCTGGTCATGACAGAGAGGAAATCAGGACCTCCCCCTCTGCTGTCCCCCTCTGAGGACATAGTAGACTGCCACCAGGTCACCCTTCAACCTTTCCTTCTCCAAGCTGAACAAAGTCGGTGACGTCAGCCACTTCTTGCATGTCTTGCCCTCAAGGCCTTTTACCATCTTGGCTGTCCTGCTCTGCACACACTCTAATAGTTTGATGTCCTTCTTACCTTGAGACACCTACAACTGCCCACAGTGCTCAAGGTGGGGCTGCAGCAGTGTGGTGCAGAGTGGGACAGTCCCCTCCCGCGA